AGTTTGACTGGGATAGAAAGGTGTTGATCCACAAACTGCCCAATGGTAGAACTGTTAGATTGCAGAAGTATAAAGCTAGCAGTCTAATAGAAAACTACGGGTGTATGTGTGCTTCATCCTTCTATAACTACTATAAGCAGAATCAAGAGGAGGGCATGTATCTAGTCTGTCTCTGAGAAAGGGGAGGCCGTTAAAACACCCCCAGAGATAGAAAGAGTCGTCGCACAATATTCAGACCTTTTTGAAGAGCCCATAGGCGTGGTGGAAAGGGAGGTTGTACATGCGATAGAGATTGTCCCGAGTAGCAAGGTGCCTAGAGGACGAATCTATAGGATGTCTCCCGCGGAGTTAGATGAGCTTCGCCGCGAGCTTAAGGAGCTCACAGAGAAGGGATGGATACGGCCTAGTACCTCCCCTTACGGTGCGCCAGTTTTATTTGTCCCAAAGAAGGGAGGTCCATTAAGGATGTGCATTGACTATAGGGGCCTCAATGCCATCACCGTTAAGAACGCGGAGCCCCTACCCCGCATTGACGACCTGTTGTATAGAGTGCAGGGATGCCGGTACTTCACAAAGATAGATCTGAAGTCTGGATACCATCAAATTGTAGTTAGACCTGAGGACCAACACAAAACCACATTTCAGACCAGGTACGGTCTGTACGAGTTTGTGGTGATGCCTTTTGGCCTATGCAATGCGCCTGGTACATTTCAGCACGCAATGCGCCTGGTACATTTTAGCACGCGATGAACTGGATATTTCATGAGTACTTGGACAAGTTTATCGTCGTGTACCTCGATGATATTCTTATATTTAGTAGGACTGTAGAGGAGTATGTTGAGCACTTGAAAGTAGTGCTAGGTCTCCTAAGACAGCACTAGTACAAGGTAAACTTGGATAAATGCGAGTTTGGTCGCACGACTATCAACTTGATCCTATAAAGGGTACGTACGATAAGGTGGCTGATGCGCTATCAAGAAGGGCAGATTATCTGGGCGCGCTAGTCACTGAGTTTGGTGTATCTGACGAACTCACTCGATCGCTGGTGGAAGCCTATCAGGGAGACCCAGTCATGTCAGAAATCATCCGTAGATTCCAAGCTAAGGACAAGAAGACTTTGGATGAATTTACGATGGTAGATGGCTTGCTGTTCCTTGAGAAGGCAGGGAATAGAAGATTGTGTCCCGTGTAGTGAGTCTTTACGTAGATTATTTTTAGGCGAGTGTCATGACGCAACTGGTCATTTTGGATATAAAAAAGCCTCAGCTAACCTAGTGCAGAGATTTTGGTGGCCCTCTATGATGGAGGATACAAAAAGGTATGTTGAAACTTGCCATGTCTATCAAAGGGACAAACCTAGGACTCAGGCTCCGCTTGGGCTCATCAGGCCCTTGCCGATTCTAGAAGGTCCTGGTCAAAGTGTGTCCATGGATTTCATGGATACTCTTGTGACCAGTAAGTCTGGAAAGAGGCATATCTTCATGATAGTGGACCGCTTTACTAAATATGCAAGACTGATCGCTATGCTAGAAACTGCGAAAACTGACTATGTCATGAAACTGTTTCTAGATCACTGGGTTAGGGATTTTGGACTACCCACATCAATAGTAAGTGATAGGGATGTAAGGTTTACCAGTGAACTGTGGCAGGCAACTGCTGAACAAATGGGAACCAAGCTCCAAATGACTTCAGGGAATCACCCTGAGTCAAATGGTCAGGCAGAACAGATGAACCGGGTAGTACAGCACTTGCTTCGGCATTATATTAAGCCAAGTCAGGATGACTGGGACGAGCAGTTACCTCTCGTCGCCAGCCTGTACAATAACGCTGTGCATAGTTCTACCGGTATGACTCCCAACCAGCTACATCTTGGTTGGAAACCCAGAACTGCGCTGGACTTTCTGCTACCGGAAAGGCAACCCACTGCAGCTCCTGGCAGCATAGAGTATGCCATCAAGTATGAACAGATGCTGCAGAAGGTAGTGGAACATATTAAGAAGTCTCAAGATGCTATGATTGCATCTGAGAACAAACATAGACGGCCTTCTAACTTTCAGGTAGGGGAGAGAGTCTGGGTAAGGTCATCTGAACTGGGTCAGGAGTTAGGGATCTCAAGAAAGCTGATGCCACAGTACTTTGGGCCCTGGGAGATCTTGGACATTGTAGGGGATCAACCAGATGGGCCTTCATACGTGATTCGTATTCCTGCACACCTACGCACTAACCCTGTGTTCCATGCTTCCAAGTTGGCACCTTTCGCTGCTACAGAGCAGTTCCCTTCAAGAAGATCAATGCTGCCCCCAACCATGGATGGCGAGGTCGACATCGACCAGATCGTGGAGCACCGAGTGATGCCTGTTCCTCGATCATCAGGCAGAGGGCGCCCTCCTAAACCGAGAATGCAGTATCGTGTGAGCTTCAGACATCACCTCGATCCCAAGGAAGATCGCTGGTTCACACGAGAGGAACTCATGAGAACAGCGCCTCAAGTGATTGCAGGCTATGAAAGAGAACGAAAAGGGAAGATGCCAGCAGAATAAGAGACTTCTCAGAGGACTAACGAAGTAAAGGAGGAGGGAATACGAGGATCAGGGTCCTCGGTAGGCCTATGGGGCCCTGTTTGCAGCCTTACCCGCCCAAGTGAAGGCGTAGGTGCCCGCCCTAAGTGAAGGCGGGCCTGGCTTTTTGCAAGAGGCCCTCGACTGTCAATGTCATATTTGGGGTCCAGGCAGTTGCGACGCGCCAGTTGGTTGAGAGGAACACAGGCCGAACAACAAAGACATTTCCACGGCCCTCCGGGGGTTTCCAAAGAATGCAGGCCCTGGGCGTGATTCGCAGCCTCATACAGAGACAGTTGGGCGCCCAACCGAACGAGGCCCAAGCAGCCCAGTAGCTACTGTACACAGGCAGCCTCCTGGGGCCATCCGGAAGCTTCTGGGCCCAGGCCAGTGCAGCCAGGCTGCGAGAGCAGACCAACTCTTTCCATAAAGGAAAGAGCTCGGCCCTGGCTGCCTCATTCAGGCACTCGCATGCTRGCGGCAGCGCTGGTGGAGCAAAGGCTCGCGGCTGCTGGCTGGCGCTGAGAGGCGAGGTGCAGCACGTGCGGTCGTGCAGGGAAGAAGGGCGCTGCTAAGGGCAGCGCCATAGCCAGCCTTCATAGCAGGCTAGGCTTGGACTACAGTGAGGCGCAGGGGTGGTCTTCGGGTGAAAGARAGGACAGGTGTGGGTGTAGTCAGGGGAYAGGTGAAGGATGATGATGATGATGATTTGAGGGCACTTACCTTGTATTGGCGATGGTCTGCATGGGCGACATCTTCAAGTACTTCGGGCTGCCGCTGATGTCAACAGTTGCATYRTCTTTTTGTAGTCTGTAGTAGCTGTGKAGGAGTAGGCTGGGCGCTGAGCGCCAAGTGTGCGTGTGAAGGAACTGGACTCTTGTGYTGAGAGGAGAGAGTATGCTCTCCAGGAACATTGGTTTTCAGTGCTACGAACCTCCATTGGTGTATTATTKGTGCAATGCTGCTCTCTGGACACGGTGTGACTATATGGCTTTCAATGTGATGGTGTGATCTGGAATTGTCATCTCGCTGTTGCTTATTTTCCTTGCA